CTAAAGAAACGCAACCTATTATTGCTAACACCTTAACCTTCTCAATCGGTTTTTATTTTTGTAAACCCAGTATTCTAATAGTCCTTTGATTAATGGTCACATATATTATCGTAATGTTATATCTAGTTCACATAACTTACTAGCTCAATCGATAATAAAAGTTGATCATCTATATCAACTAATTAGCTTTGATGGTTCGTTAACAAGCTTTAATAGCATTTACCTGCTTCAGCGACATAAACTTGTTTAAACATCAAGCTCTAGCAAATATGACCTGTAAATAGCGTAAATATACATTGGCTAACAATGCAGTCAAGGATTGAATAGTTATCTGGATCTAATTCTTAGTGTTTCTTCGCTTAACACCTCATCCTGTTTTAAACTATGCACTATCCTTTTCTTCCGACCACTGCCTGCCTAATTTCATATTCTCGAGTTCCATTGCCAAACAACAAGGATGACACTTCTCTAAAAACACGGTGAGTTTCAGCCATAAGTTTCCTGCAATCATAAGGTCATTTTAGATGGCTCGTTCAATGACTGACTCAGTTATCTGGATTCATTCGATTGTTTTGATACGAGCGAGTGGCAAAAACATCAACAGCATCAAGCACCCTGGAATTAATTGCCATACTGCATGTTTTATTGTGGATACTTTTGGATCATTACTCCTCACGAATGGCGTTATATATGTCGTCCACTGAATAATCTAATTTTCAAAAATAATCCAGGCGAGTTCAACTATTTTACTGGATGATTTTTCTGTACTTAACATGTATATGTTTTCCAGTTGTGTTTGCCACATATTTATAATTATCTTTAGGCTAAATGCAGTAACTTCTTATAGAATGTTTATAACGCATCATATTCCTGCCTGAAGTTTCACAAGCAGTCTAAACTTTAAAATTACTTGTCTGGTCATGTTCATTCTTTTTAAATCGTCATATACGTCAACAACCTGCATGTTAACCTGGTTCATACATACGTTACACTATATCTCCATGTCTTCTAAATTTAGAAATCATCTGGATCGCCTCTAACATTTATTAATAAACCCATCATAGTCGTTGTTGCTAATCGTATTTGGATTTATGGATTGGTTTATCATATTAGCAGTCTAAAATGCAAACATAATTCAGATAATAAGATTAAAAATTTAGGTACTATCAACTGCACTAGTAAAATTACTAAATCCTCAGGTAGTTGTTGGTTGAACAAACTTTTAAAATCTAAACTCCGTAGCCTACTAGAATTAACACTAAACGAATCTTTCTGAATTAAAATTTATAATTAAATTAGGCGTCTCGGATTCTGTAACGTTATAAATTTCTGGTAATTTCGAATCACCTAAAGCAACAATACCTATTTTTCCACTGGCCAATCTTCAATCAACACTATAACTAATTAAACATAATAGTTTCAGGATATCTTCATAAAGCATTGTCATGACTTGACAATCACGTAATATGATTGATAAAATTAATGAAACTATTAACAAAATCGGTCAGCAGATTGACTTATAATTATCACTAGTGTTGTTTTTCTTCATTCACTACAGATGATTACAGTATGTTTCTCTATCAGTTGCTCATTCAGTAAATATCTCAAAACTTTGTCAGTCTAATTGATGGTTTAGCGACACAATCATGCATGCAAATAATCAGTATAAGCAGTCGAGCAAATATCCTGCAAACTGAAAACATCAATGTCGAATTTACCCCAACACTGACTAAGGTTCAAGCTATTATCATAGGCATGAGTTGGGAGTGCACTCCCCTTGGTAACAACTTATGTTCTCCCTGATAATCACATGAGCATCACTCACTATTAATCATCTTGTAAAAAATTATTTAGCCAAATACACCTTGCAGCACCACATCACTTAGTAATATGACACATAGGTTTAACTAATTTCAATAACGTATAACCACTATATCTCAATTAAATCGTGTTCCGCCTTATGATAAACTGCATACTTTCAACTAACTTGTATACCCAATCAGCCGGCAAGTATAGATATAAATAAATAGTCTGCCGCAGATCAGAACATTGAGTCTAGAGCATGTCTCTTAAGAATACACTCATGTTTAACGATTTGTTTCTAGCTATCTGTCCAAAATTCACATAATTATCACTCACGTATTTAAATTTTGTTTTGATAACCATTCATGTGTATTAGTAGTATTACTAAATTCTATCACGGTCAGATAAACATGGGGTTGAGAAAATCTCCCCGTAACTAAATAAACCGTATCAAACTAACTGGAACACTAATTGGAATTCTTCTCCACGGTAATACTTTTGTTCCTTCAGTTAGCCTACTAATACAGATGCAATTGGAAATCGACTCATATGGACAACTTACCGGCATAATCGTTATTTGATTTCATAAGTTAGACTAAAAGTAGTACTAATATTGACATTTCTACAATATTTATAACTTTAATATTTCTAAACACAAAATACTACCTATACGTTAAGTTATCAACCAACGGCTATTACACACGCATCGTTTTATTATTACTATTATTATTATTGTAATCCCATTTTTTTATAGCTCAAATAATCACTCAAATTTTCATTGTAAGCGTGTTAAGCATGAAGGCAGATATTTTAAAATTATTACATGTATTTCCCGACCAGATGTTGCCGTCTTCTTTTTTATTTATCTTACAGCTTGTCATCACCCGGAGGAATCTTACTATTCTTGGTAACAGTCCCATCCAATTTGGTATCGAACCAACACCACGTTGATTCTGGTGGGAGAGTAGTGTAGTGGCATTGGACCATAACCACACTATCCTCAAAGCTGAATACGAGATTACTCGGAAAATAGGTATTCAATATTTAACGCGAAGAAATACCTAACGATGGAGAAGGCGCGAATAATGAATTGAATAGACTAGAGTTGATCGAACGGCATGGCTCGGCCATGCAGGCGTGGTCTCTGCTGAATGTTACCTTATATCTTCTTTTCATATTAAATATATTGTTCTTTCTCTAGCCTAACCTTGTTCTACATCATGTATTGGTAATTGATACGATACAGTGAGTTGGTGTAGTCGATGGTGTGACCTCCACGATTAGGTCTATTATTAGAGCAGTACTAATATCATAGTAGACCACGAGTTCTACAAGTGTCCGTCGAAAATGTTTTTCAGGTTAAAATGTTTCCGATATACAGGATAGAATGATAGTCCCCGTATAATACACCCTGCTAACGAACTAATGGAAAAAGTACTGAACGACGTCAAAAAAATTGCCACTTTCAAATTTCGCACTGTGATGATAGTATAACCACATTTGATATTGTGTGTCATAAAACAATGCTCTAATTGAGCAAAACAAAACTCAGAGTCCCTACGACGAAATTCCGGAAGTCGGGATTTCGTAGTCGTAACAGTGTCTATCTCCACTGTTGACAAATCCTCCAGCTTTTCGGTTTACATTGAGCCTGATATGAGTTATATAACCAATATAGTAACGAAATCAGCACGGAAAATGATTACTACAACACGAATACTTTCAAATAAAAAACTATGTGTAAGTATGTATATACCAGAACTTGATTAAGAATAATCAGAAGGTATAGTTTTACGACCAAGCAAAAAAATAATATTAATAACAGGTGTAAGATCTAAACTATGGTTTGGACTGAAAAGTAGCTGTCTCGGTCGGTTAGATACGCGCGTTTGCCCGGCTGAAACCAAAACAAAGCAATTAGGTAAAATGACGGTAATATAATTCATCATAAATTGAAATGTACGTTGTTACCTAAACAAATATGACCACCCAGCTATCCAACCAATAATTGTTCAGTTAATCAAATCAATCACAAAAAACAAATGCTATTATATCGTGTTTGGATAGACCATGTACAGATACATTCAAAAGATAATATTTTGTTGCTTAATAACACAGTGTCTCCAATTCTGAAAGAGTGCCTCAGTTTTGTAGTGACCGTAATGCAATTGATAGAAACAAGACTAGTAGTGAATAAGTCATTGGTACGTCTAAGTTTTTGCTCGTTCCCTATTCGCAATTCATGAACCCAAATTAACAATAGAACCAGACTCCAATTTAGATACCAAAGTTCATTCGCAAGTTACAAATAGTCAACCAAAATGTCATTCTTCAATTTTGTAGGTTTTCGAAGCAAAAACTACCAAATACCAAACCAAAGACAAAGAGAAGCCAAGATGTCCGAAGATAATCATATAAACAAACAATTCCAAAGGTTAAGTAAAACAAATACATCTAAAAACACAGTAAAATTAATAATATACAGTTTTAATCAGCCAAATGCTTAAAGTTCTCCCGTAACTGTCTTTTATTTAGATCTTGGCGCAGTCACAGTGGAGCGTGGGATTACCTGTTCAGACAAACAAGACCTCTCAACATTCAACATAAGATAATAGGAAATACAATGCTTATGCAACATAAGTGGATGAGTAATTGAACTCCACTGTTTTGGCATATACTTAATTGTTTGAGTGGATATGGTGACATAAATTTTCCATGTAGTTGTCTTAGTTCCATGGAAATTACTTTTTGAGGGCTATTTCTTGAATGTTACTTTACTGAAAAGCACTTTCTTGATTATTATTGCTAACTTATTGCTTGATGATCAAATCCATTTATTCTCAATTTCATATTTGAACCTCATATCACCCAATTCAGCTTTTAAAAAGGTGAATGGCATCTTTGGTTTGTTTGTTACGCTTTCGTTGCTGAAGACGGAGTATGTGAAGCATGTACTTGGCTCCCGAGTTCTAACCGAACGTGTTCGCATAAAACTCGGTGCATATTATCTCGTATTCGAAATACCATGCTTTTAAACTCACCAGAGGCGACAGTATCTCAGACACATAACACATAATATCAGTACCTGTTAGTATATTCATAACGAGATTGGATTTCCATAGTGGTAAAAACCGCAAGGATTAATGCAGGTTGACAGACTTCATATCCGTATTACTGAAGACTGAATTGTCAATAACCGGTTCATTCAAAACTGTTCGTTTCGTTAAAGTCACGAGACTCAACCATTGGCTTTTGCCGACGTTTCGTTTCTACATAGGAATACTTCATAAGTCGTTATTGAGCCCACAACATAATTTTCTTGTACCGCAGTCTGTTTTGTCCTTGAATCCCTTAAACGTGTGGTACATATTCCTGTATAAAGTTATTACGGTTACTGTTGACTCACGAATACATTTGTATATATATATATATATATATATATATATATATATATATATATATATATATATATATATATATATATAGGGGTTGCTCGATACACCAAAACCATATTTTCGAGGCCTTGGAAGAATTTTATGGCGAGGCCATGACTTATGAACAAACCAATTAGGCATAAAATAACCTCTCAGATTTTAGCACGAAATTCATCCATCCACTTGGTTAAATTGAATTTTGGTATTGTAGCTAATCCCTTTTAGAGATGAAAATCGTGAACATTAACCACCAACTGTTAATCATAATTCTGATTACTCACACTGGTTTATAACACTCATTTGGTCTCGGTTATTAGGTTGACACCATAAATTGTAATCTCACCGAACCTGCACAAAAACCTATGTGCAGGGTTTGAGTCAAGAAGTTTCGGAACTTGCCGAAAGTCATAATGATGCTACCTTCCGCTAAATCTTTCGGAAAAACGGTTGATCACTTTAGTTCAGCAAATACTAAGGGCGATTACTCCAAGTGTTACTTATTGATCACTCCTATCGTTAGCTAAGTTTTTCCTCTCAGTTTCCCGGAGTAATTCAAAAATCATGCCTCTAATCAAGAACACTCCCCAACTACTCAGACACTGATTACAAGAAAAAAAGTTATTTAGTCCTGACAAACTAGTTAGAAGTTGTAATACAGTTTACTAAATAGTTTCGTGAGGTTAAACCATACACAATCGTAAATTATGACAGTGTGTATGTAGCTTTCGTTTAGTGCATGGCTCTGGGAATAACTGAATCTTCTTTTCGACCTAAAGACTCAGCTGACGGACAAAAATCCCTCGATAATCATTTAGGCCGAAAAGCAGAATTCAGAGTCTCATCGGTCATTGTTTGTGGTTTAGATAACTACCATATAAAATGCTTTATATCTTACTAATATCCGAAATTGGCTGCAAACTTGATTTTTGAGATCAATGAATGCTCGTGTGTTTATTATAGTCTTTTAATTTTGCAAAGAAGTTTCAAAAAAGCCATCACTTTATCCAGGTGCTACCACAAGAAAAATGCTAAACAGTATTAAAAAGGAATTGAAAAACATGTTAACACCGAATAATCCAGTTTCTTGTTACTTATTGTGTCCTTCCGTTGGTAATAAAACTAGTGTTTTAAACTCTTGCTGGTATCATATTGCTGCGAAACTTCTGAGGGATTGGTGATCATAAGTGAAAAGTTGAATGCTTTATGTCAAACGTTTTTCCAGTATAACCATATATAGTTTAGGATTTTAGTGCGCACTTGTCTTCAGAAATTAATATTTTGTTGTTTTGTCTTTTAGCAGCTATGTGTGACGAGTCTAGCTACATTAGTAAGCCTATTTCCACTATACAGGAATTGGTACACTGGAACTTTCCGTCTACATCGAATCTTACAATACCTTTAAGCTATTTCAGTGACTTTTTAAATGGTAATTTGTCATTTCCTTTACCAGCAATCAAATATAGACTTCGGCTTTATTCGTAAGTCCTCTGGATTACCTAAAGTTATATACTGTCATGATATGGCTGGCGGTTATCTGTCCTCTGATCGAACAGTCAACTTCACTTGTGTTTTTCCTGCTTTTCGATTCGTTCATTGGCACTTGGTTGACATATTTATTTACTTCAGTCATCAGTTCATAACTATACCGCCAGTGTCATGGATTAATCTAGCACATAGGTAAGCTGTTTTAGAATACTTTTTAAGATACACCTATTTTAAACGTTAACTTACCACTTATTTTTAACAAAAAACCGTAGTAAGGAAATCATTACGGTAAGGTCACTAAGTACGTGTCTTTCACAGATGCAAACTAAACTCATAGTTAGCTAATAATTTCTGTTTGGATTCTGTCTATTTAACTGTTTCTTGTGTATTTTTCGCACTATTCTTAAAAAGCATAGATACTACACAATTTTCGAAAACATGAGGAAGGTCCTGTTGAAATTTTATAACATATGCACTTTTCGGCGAAATGTTCCGGAAATTCACCGTAATCTAGTCACATACTTACTAATAATAACCTATGTGAAAATGATCTATTATTTCGAGGCTGAATTGCTGTGTTTATATCAAGATTAACGGTATTTGGCAGTTACTTATTAACCATGTTTATAATTGTAAAGACTTCTTATTCGGCTTAGAATAGCTGCCCTATTCATTAGTGTAGAACTTAAAAAAAAACAAAATCTCTTAATATGAATTGTTTCTCCGAACATAAACTAAACAGTCGGTCAGTCAGCTACAATGTAGGACCAGGCACATTTGCACATCGGTCCAAGTTGTCATACCGCATTAGCGTAGCAAGATGAGCACCGGATTCATAGAAGTGGTTAAGTCAGTGGTGATAATATATAAAAGAAGGATTGCATATAAGGATATGGTACAGGAAGAAAGAATTAGTTGGTAGAAAAAAAGATGTAAAGCAGTTTTAATCTCACAGTTTAAGGGAAGACAAAAAGTGTATACAACGATGCCATTGTGATTGATTCTGAGCCATATCACACAGAGTCTCCCACCACTGGTTACGATAGTCACGCGGACCCCAACCAAGTAGTCTGCATTTACCAAAATAGCTCAGACTAGAAGTTAGTGACTTCAAGGACTGATGCCACGTTTTGGTTTGGCCGCCCCTAACTTTCAACCATCTCCAACATCGGTTAGCATTGCACGTCGTGACAATCGGTATTCGGGCATACGTAAGACGTGGCCCAACCATCCCAGTCGATGAATATTCACAAACTCATCAACTGATTCACTATCATTTCCTAATACCCTGCGTCTAACCTCACTATTAATTACCCGGTTATCCCAGCATATACGAGCAATATTTCCAAGGCATTTGTGGTCAAATGCTAGTAGCTTACGAGTATCTTCTATTATTAATAGCCATGTTTCGCAGGTGCAAAGCAGAACAGAGCGGACTGCTGCGCAGTATACTCGTTTCTTAATTGATAGACGGATATCTCGCCTTCGCCGGGTGAATGACTACACTAGGATCCTGTATGCGTGTTTCGAAGACACAACATACGTCAATGGTACGAGATTTTATGGTCTTATACAAGGAGGTCTACTGGTCAATTTGACATACGGTGCGTACGTTAAAGTCTCCAATGTGTAGTTTGGAGCGAGGTTTCAGTAGACCTGGAACAGTGTTTCGCGCACTAGAATCGTTGGCTATGGTGACACTTAAAGAGGGAGCCAAAAGAGGGAGTTTAGAGTTTGAAAGTTGATGTAGGAGAAATAATAGGAATTGAAGAGGTAGGTTGATTACGAATACAGTGGTCTTAAGTGCTTTTAGAGGTATGAGGGCGGTTATCACTTCCCGGTTGCCCACACCGTGGAAGGGTTCTTCTGGAGGTTCCTGAAAATGAAATAGGGTTAGAGGTGGTCTTAGTGACATGAGAGCGTGAGCACAGTGCTTAAAGGACAACTGCTTGAGGTCGGTCACACGCGACCTTTTTTTGAATAATTTTCGTGTTAGCTCCGTGCTTGTTGAGACTTTACTGCCGGAGACTGATGTCGATGGGATAAAGCAAGGTGTGCATTTTTAGGGTTGACCTTTTTCAACCCCACCTCTGCTTGTGGGAAGGTAGCATTGCTGTTACGCTGAAGGAAATACCTTACTGCTGTCACACCTCTGTACAGTCAGCAGTACAACTTCGCCTCAGGACCTTGGGTTTGTTGCTTTTAGTCTTACCGTTTTTCAATCGACCTGTCTGGCATGGTAGGACTTTGAGGAACGATTGTTTCAGCCAGTGTAGCCCGATTGGTTCATCACGATAGGCAAGCCCGACCACCACGTCAAGGTAGCAACAACGGTCGGGATGAACTAAACACAATGTTTGCGGTTAAAACATCATTGATAAAAACTCTATTTTTGGCAGATGCTAGTACCTATTCATGATGATTCTCATGAATATTACTTTTCTGGTGATAAGATTAAACGACGACTGGACAACTAGTTTTGCAATTTTAAACTCATGTTTACATAAAAGACTGTAAACCTATGACACTTTGATATTTAAACTTGACTTGTAAGAATCAGGTTACAGTTTTTGATGGCTATGTATATCCATTCTTATAGTAAGTACAATTAAATAGATGCTACGCCTACTTTTACTTGAATTTTATTATGGATCTGCCACACCTGTTTTCTCCAAGCTGGAAGTGCTTATCGTTTATCGACTATGTAGCATGTAGTTATGTATATGGTTGCTATAATTCTTTCTCAATGGATTACATTCTTAATGGTCGGTTAGTTATTCTGAACATTTATAAATCTTTTTCTGGTCATTTTTAAGACAGGGTGTCAGTGTCTATGGTACTGTAATTATGGAATCAGTGGAGTGTGATGGATTCAAATTCATTTTTATGGGTTCCTCAGAACATTATCGTGATGTCAATAAAATATTAAACTATCAGGATTTTGCCATACGTTTGGATCAAATAAGACGAGTTGTTGGGTTTGAGGGTTGGTTTATTAACTTTGAAATTTCTCTACCCTGGGTATGTAAACATTTATTTAATTTACTGCTCGTTATTAATCTTCTAGTTTTCATAATTTTATCGTTCTAAATATAGAAATTCACGATTTTTTTTGGTTTCTCACTACCAATCGGTATTGTCACTTACACTCCTTAAGTTTTCCTCACGTTGATTAAAGCAATTTAGACCAATGTAAATTTTCGTCTGATCGAACTGTGTTTATGTTAATACATCTAATTTTTAATCCTGATCACGTGGCCAATATCTCTATAAATCTGTTTATAGTATACGAGTATAAGGCTTTAACACTATTTATAATTAGGTAAGGTTTTTCTTACACTACCTTGTTTGCTTAAAAGACGGGTCAGTGAATTAATTTCCGTTTAATGCGATCCAAATATTCAACATTATTAAAATACTATTGTACTTGAAAGTGGAATTTATCGAGAAAATGTCGACTAATACTTAAGGAATATTCCAAATTGAACTTAACTTTGGAGAAAGCATCCATATGATTATGGCGTCCGATTTTTTCAGCAAGTAGATCTCAGATAGTGTTGTGCGAAGACAACTTATCAGAACTGCATGATATATTAACGTAATACAATGCAAGCAGTCCGATCACATATTAAATTAAAATATCTTTATAAGAAATCAACATCAAACTATAAGTGTCTGAACACAAGAAACTCAAAGATAGTAATGGAAAAAGCAACATAAATCATATCACTATGGATATCAAATTAAAGTTAGTATGACCATGGTAGGATTAACGTAGGTACAAACATTTTGAACACAACGGGGTTTAAGTTTTCATATAACTGATGTATCAAAAATTCACACATACATACATTTGCTCTAAATGTTATGAAATATCATAGATTAGCTGTCAGTCACCACCAGTAATTCTCAAGCTAAAGTGGTAAAACAATTATAATTACATTTTCCGAAATTGAAATATGCTGAGGTCTCAAGTGGAAGAAAATGCAGATACCTAGTCAGTATCGTTTCGTGATAATACGCACTGCTAAGGAGTCCCATACTAGGACGAAATGGCCATCCAGTGCTTCCACGTTTTCCATGGTAGTCTAGCTTTAATCGACCCATTAATTCAACTGTTTAATCACCAATATGTCAACAAGTGCAATCGTATTTCTAGATAACCAGTATAATCATTAATGTGCTGGTTCGCCGAACCGTATATTTCTAAACGTCTTGCTTGATTTAGTTAATGATGTCGCGAGTCAGTCAATTAAAGCGCTTACTACTGTTTACAAGTGGGGAGAAAAATAGTAGTTTGATGAAAGAAATATGTTCAGATAAATTGGAACACAGTTGTACAAATGCATTGTTTCTCATCTATGGTTAGCTATTCTATGATTTCAGCCTATAAGTTTATTTTTCTTCCCTTTGTTTTTTGGAAAGTTTATTTTCGGTTTGTTTTCTTGATATATGAGTAACTCCTAGTTCAATTTTGATCATTCTCCTGATTTATTTTGTGATTTATAATTTACAAGATAAATGTATGTAAAATCTATTAGGTTGTTGCTACTCATTACTATTATCTTTTAGGAAAAAATTGCTACAATTCGTGATCGAATAAAGAAATTCCTACGAATGCTTAGAAACCTCGGTTCTGAAGTTATCTGGTTCGTATCTTAGTCTTATAATAACTAACTAGATTTTTTGTTATAATAGTTTTATGGTTGAAATAAACATCAAAAAGGTTAGTTTTTTCTTGCTGCTACCTCATCCCATCTAAATAATCCATAAAAATTACATATTTTTCTCTTGAATGTTGTGCTTCCATATAATTACTATGCCTGTTACCCCACGAGGAGAAGCAAAGGTCGCCCACCAGCATTCTCCATCTAACTCTATCCTGGGCAAGTATTTCCAGTTGCTATTCATCTTTTTGATGTCTCATTGCGATTTCCAACACAGTGTGTACTTCGGCCTTCCTCTTTTCAGTTTCCCTTCAGGATTCCAGGTTAGCGCTTTCTTTGTGATGCAGTTTGGTGATTTCCTCAATGTATGTTCTATCCACCTTCAACATCTTTTCCTAATTTCCTCAGCTGGAAGCTGATTTGTTCTCTTCCACGATAGGCTGTTGCTGATGGTATTCGACCAATAGACATTAAATATCTTGTGTAAACAGTTGTTTATAAATACTTGTACTCTTTTGTTAATGGTTGTGGTTATTCTCCAAGTTTCAGATCTGTGCAGTAGAACTGTCTTGAAGTTCTTATTGATGATTGTGAATTTGATGTTGTTTGACAGTTGTTTTGAGTTTCATATGTTGTCCAACTGTAGGAATACTGCCCTTACTTTGCTAATCCTTACCTTTACGTCTGCATCAGAACCTCCTTGTTCATCGACTATGCTGCCCATTGCTTCAGTGTGCTACAATTTGTTTATGGTTACTAATCACGGTAAATAATCACTGTTCATATATATCAAGAAACGGCTGAAGTTTTAAGACAGCGTAGTTTGTACTTTTACAGTTACTTCTTGTTATACATGTCAGTAGTTAAAGCGCTCAACTTTTAATCAATAGGTTGCGAATCCCAACTCCATTTTAATTCGGTTTTGTAAATCAAATAAAGTTGAGCGTCAAGTACAAAAACATAGATTTAGTTATTGAATTTATATGAAAATTTCTTAAATGTCACAACTTTTAAATAAAATTTGCATCATGTCATTGTTGCTTGCAGATTTGCATTGTTCTTTATTAAGGTATGATGCACTAACTTGGTCTGGCCACTTAAGCTTTCAAAATGAATTGACCGAAGAAAATTTGCCGTATATGAAAGCGTCCGGAAGTGGTTTATTTCTCAATTATAATTGGAATCCAGTTAAGTTACGACGATCACAAGAGGTGTAAGTAACATTTTCAGCAAATTTATATATATTTCATTTCGAAATTATAGATCATTCATAACAGGAATTTCGAGGCCACAGTAATATGATTAACAAATAACGAATAAAGTATTGCTGAAATATTGTAAATATAGCTCATTTAATGAAATTAATTTAACATGTATTTGTTCTTCACATTGATAGTCAAATTCATATCGATTGAAAGTACTGGTGTAACTAAATACCGTTGTAGATGTTATGGATTCAACCTTTGATAATGCTGTGGATGCAAACTGCTAAGAAGTCCAATATTAAGGCGAAACAGCTATTCAGTACTTCTTGATTTCTAGTGATCGTCTAACTGAAGTCAGTCAGTAGTGTAAAGCTACAAAATCCATTAATCCCAACAATCCCCTATCCTAATAAGTATTTTGCGAAGGTCCTAAATTCTAACCGAATGCTGGTTAATTAAATGTTATCATGCATTCGAATAACTACTCAAAACTCTTACCTGTCTTATCCTATTGCTCAAACAGGGCTGTTAAAGCCGAAGACTCTGGGTTGATGGTACTTTATCATAAATCTCATTGAAGCATTGGCTAATCACTGTTAAATAACCGATTAAGAAATGTTAAAGTTGGTTGTAAAGTTCTGAGATAAAGGGCAAGTAGGTTGAAAGGGCTGTAACCAATTAACAATTCAAGTACTTAGTCTGTGCGATAAGCATGTAGACTTCAAAGTTTCCCGAATACATGGCATGTTGACCAATGTTCGATGGTAGAATATTTATTAAACTGAGTATTCTGTACATACTTCAAGTTCACACAAATGAAAAAGTTTAGGTGTTTTTTCTATTCATCCGTAGCATTTTGTTAGCTTTGGATCTGACTAATTACTTTTTTTCTATTTTTTAAATAAAACAACTAGTGCTGTTAATTCTTCAATGTCAACAAAGGTGTTTGTCGGTATTGATTGTTTTGGTCGTGGTTGTATTGGAGGCGGTGGTTTCGGTACAGTCGAAGCACTGAAAGTTGTTTTAGATATTAACGTCAGTTACTTTCTATGCCTTCCTATTTCCAATTAAATTGTCTTGTCAGTTCGCGCTGTTAGCTTATCAATAGTGTACCACTTTAAAAATGTTAGTGAAGTGTTATACATATTATTAGTAATAAACTGAACTGTAATCCTAATGTTTAAACAAAATAAGTTTTGGTTTCGTGGTTTCAACATAGAAAGCCTAAACCTAATATCACAGATTTAAAATCCTTTTAAACTAACGCAATCTTAAGAATAAAATTGGCATCAGCTCTCATTTAAAACATACGACACACATTTTATTGAACAAACCTGCTGTAATTAGATGGTAGTTGGAGGTAGTCAACAGGAAACCCGGGACCCGGGTTTCGTGCTTCCTGGTACTCGTCGGCAAGGTTTACCTGTAATCTTGAGGGACCTGGTTCACCCTGACGGATTCGACCCCGTGTCACCCAGCTTCACAGTCAGGGACGTTACCACTGGGCTATCCGGGCCGTGACCGACCTCCTGTAGGACTGAGATGCCAAGTAGCACTGAACCCGGGTTTCCTGTTGACTACCTCTAACCACCATCTAATATTAACATAGTGCACGCAATGTCGAGTCACTTAGACTAGTGACCACATTGCAACTTGATCGACAGCATTCAATCTGCACCAAAAAGTAGTTGACACACATGACATTGATCACCACCCAGTGATCAATCAATTGTGAAAACTGCTGTAACTTAATTTTAAACACGTTGAAGAGATTGAGATGGATTACAATTGATGTTGTTAGAAATCACGTTTTGGGTGAATAAATGCGTTATGATGGAACAATTGACTTGATAAAGCACGATCAATTAAAGTAGTCCGTAAACCTATCTTTAAGCATCAGGTGAATAGATTTAAAAAGTCAGAACTATCAGTCGACAGTACGGAAGTCAAATGGGTCGGCAACAAGTAAGTAAATTATTATGTTTTCCACATTTACTGTAATCTATTTAGTTTATGTAGTGAGATAATCACAAAGGTTATGTTATTTGAACATATCAATCACAAGTATAACAATGGTGTTCTAAGATCAGCTAACTATAAAATCAGTTGTAGAGAACCGCTAATTTTATTAATATTATTGCTGTTGTAACGGGTGAATTGCAGGTTAGTCGAGCAGCGTATTATCGATCGGATCAGTTACACGTAAAACACATACGAACGACCTAGAGTCCCGATTGGCCCTGCTTCGCTGTCTATCCCAGCCAGTTGAGTCCAGAATGCAAGTCTTAGCCTCTGAGATATGAATCGTTATATTTCAAACATACTCTGTTTATATACCAATCAAACAAACCTACATCGTACCATAAAAATAGAAAACAACATTTGTACAATATTTAACAGGTGAAGTAAACATTGGCCAATAGGAAATGTCCATTTAACGTTCAAGGACACCATTAGACTTAACATGATAATTATTGGTATATTTTTCTGCACGTCCTAACAATTGGCCCCCAAATGCCCTGGTACGGCCAAGAGTGGGGAGAGTTCACCCTCCCTCTCGAAACGCTCTCACATGGTCACGCGTATATAGCCTCTGCCAGGGAAGTCCTACTCACTGCCTTCTCGTGGCGGGGGTGTTGTTTACGAAAATGAGAGGACAAAAAGCGAATGCCCGGCGCTTTAACCGGATTCCAAACCAATGGTGCACATGGGCTCCAGTATCCTGCGGGAACAAATGGCGTATGAACCAATTGTTGGTCACCGGCTTCCATGGGATTGCATCTCCTTACGATGCTCCACTGCCTTGTGGATCAGACCTTCAGGTCGAAGGCTCTGGGTGTGGCCCCCCTAAGAAAACCACCTGCTTCGGTTTGGGCACCCGGGTAGTATCACAGTCCTCACACATATCGAATGAGATTTGTGTGGCGCATATATATTTGGTGCCTCCTTGTACCAATATCTGTGTGTTAAAATAAAATAAATTATACATCCTAACAATTGCAATCACTACTTTTCAAACAAAAAACCATGTTGCTTTTCATTTATTAAGTCATAACTACCACATTGGAGTTTTCGGTGACTGGAAGTGAACATGTATATATCTTTTTCGATGTTTCCATTTGAACCTTCATTATGGATCACCTGCCTATTGCCTGATCGGAATATCTCGGAATTGAATTATTTCGATCGTTTCCTGTTATATTAATTTGCTATCGAACTGCATACTTTGATAATTTTGATAAGTCATTATTTACTTTGTTTAGATATCCAGCTGAAAAATTTGCGTTTTCACAAGTTAAATATCCATGTTCGATGCATGCTGTTTCACTTGTACTGTTTACAGAAAACACACACTAATTTTACTTTCTTGTTAAATATTATTAATAAGATGTAGATGTAAGCTTATTTTTCAGCAAAATATTTTTCAATTTTCCAACCAGTGTAGTAGGATTGATGAGTTTGTTGGGATTCTTTGTTGTCTATTTTCGTTATAGGTTTTTTTCGTGAGCGAGTAGACCTGCCTTTTCTTTTATTAATGATTCATAAAAACAAAAAACCACTTCGTTTACGATATTTCGAGGTAGTATAGAATATATTTGTGTTGAGTTATGATTTTTTGGTCCATTATGACGCCATGGGGAGAGGAGTCCTAGTGATCGTCCATGGTATCGATTGGCCTGAAGAACCATCAGATGTTATTTTACTAACTTGTGTGGTTACATCTCTTACTGCTCATCGTCAATCAAATTTACTTTGAAACAAACAAAGTATATGATGACTTACACTTGCTCTTTGTGGTTAGTAGTGTTTAAATTCATTTCATATTTGATAATACATTTTCTAATCGACATATCGTTTGTATGAATGACTCACTCAATTACTAAAAAAAATTTAATTGTCATTTATGTGGTGCTTATTGTTATCTTGTTCAATAGATATTTCCAACTTGCCGTGAACTAAACAAATCATTGACTGATAATGACATGGCGAAATTTAGTTTTTCCGTAAGTCATCTAATGATTCGTTGATAGTTTTTCCAGTTTTTATCCCACTAATTTAATTGGGTTTTTTTATCGGCTTACTAATTTATTTTCTAGGGCTTTATCATGTAAGAACGTGCATTCTTCTAGAGGCTTTTACATTCCTTATGTATTGATGAATAAATGTAAACTGGATTTTTCATTCCCACAATGGTAGTTGAGTATTGCTGTCTTTTAAAAAAAGTTCTCTAAGTGTTTACTCTTCAAGTTCCTGCCACCAGTAGCCCGCTCATCATTCCTAAATTCCCTTCCAAGTACTAGGTTACGTGATCATGGGTGGTGATCTATATTCTATTATTTATTGGTTCCAAACATTAAAAAGCCCCGCTCGTAGTTTGGAGTACCGTTTTAGAAGGTCATGAGCCTCAGTCGTTAGTATTGGTAGTCCATTACGAATATCAGTAGAAATAGAGGAATTATTAGAAACTGAAGGAGACTTTCATAGTAAATAAGATAACTATAAGTATTCCTGAAAGTTTGGAGTATGGGTTAATGCTTCTCGGTTGCCTTTGTAGTGAAGAAGCATTTATACTTGCGGAACCTCAAAATGAAATTTGTTTGCTACTAAATCTTTCATCGACCCAGGATCGTGGACCATACTACTCAAGGGACAATTACTAAAAACTGGTTGCACTCAACAATTTACGCAAATAATTATTTTTTGTTTGTATTACTAACAATATGACTTTTTAAAGCATACTAGGACAAAACAATTGTTCATAACTCCCTGATTTTTATTGAATTATAGCTAAATTCAGTCCTCGTTGTAAATTAAACCTTAGACATCGTTTTTGTTAGCTTGTTGAGATTGAACTTAATGCTGCTAGCTGGTTTACTTTCTTCACAAGCTCATTACGTATAATGTTTCATTTCATAGGCTGTCCAAATCTTGGAAACAGGTTACGAAAAATTCACAGGGACGTGTTTATGTATACGTTTCGAACAATCCGAGACACTAGTTGATTTTGAGCAACAAAAATCAAGTGATTCATTAATGGAGTTATTTCTTTTTGGTCGTAATTCATTTATATCTGATAAAGCACGATTCAAACTAGCCATTACTCCATACAATTTAAATAAGGAGACATCTTTGCCATCTGAACAACGTTTGGACCATAAAATCGGTTTAAAACTGTTTGTGGATACATTTCATTCCCCGGATAAAAATGATGGTGAAGTTAATTTTAAACGCACATTTCTGATAGCTGATGAGGGTTAGTTTTTTGTCTTATATTTGACTTTTGACGATGTTATTTTACTTCTTGAAATATAATTCTTATGATTTCTTTGAGTATTTTGTGTTGAAGCTCAATAAATCATTTTCACTGATGACTGACCAATTCATTCTTAACCACATTAGTTGAGTTTGATGTTCACGAAGGTTAAGGATAATTTTAGTATAATAAACCATCAGTCACGTCGTTTTGATATAAAATCTAAATATCACAAGCGTGCTAGCCAAACCCGAAGTAGGTAAAAAAGACTGAAAACTCTAATCTACCGATTATTACTCATCAGTCAGTTAAAGTTTGTTATAAATTAGATTTGTTAAATGAATAAGGATTGTGATTGTGTAAGTGAATCAATAAGGTTCCTATCAATTGGTGAAATTCAATGATACAATAGAGTCGAATGGTGGTTGTTCACGAGATTGAATTATCGACGTAAGCCCACGGTCGAGCTGGTATCATACAATAAAATGGCTGCCCAGTAGAATAGGTTTTCCACTAGAAAATAACATAAAAATTTTTTGACATAAAACTGACATGATTATGCGTTATAAATGATTTGATAAAATCGATTTTGTATATTGTTCATTCTATTGTGAATGAAGGACTTAACCGTTAGACTTCACCATCATTTCAATTTTCTAACGTCTTTCTGTATTATTGATGATATTTTGTATACAAAATTTCAACGAGCTGCCACGAAGTCTAAGACTCACCAGTTCCTGCTGGCTTATAATTCCTAATAACTTATTTGTTTCCTTTTATATGTGTCATTTATACAAATTTTGTGGTTAACCTGGAATTCCTGTCTACTTTTGTTTAAAAGGTAAACAATCTATTATAGATTTTATCAACAACAATTTGATCATTACCAAAAATATCTTTTAGTCAAGTCCCTTGCCAGTTGAAGTCAATGGGAATAACTACTCCTGTAGAACATTGTTTATAGTAGTGTGTTGATAGATTATACCTATTTATTTACTGTAGGACGATGACTGATAAAATTACCGTCACTACTCTTTAACTTATAATTACCAAATCTCAGCATTTTAAAAATGGTATTACCATCGGATATCAACATTCCCTTGGAGACTGGTGATCAAACACTGCAGGTTATCGAATAGTCCCGATTCAGAGGGGCTAGGCTTCACAGGCATAGAACAGAAGTGCTCTCAGTGACGCGTTGTAAACCCGATCTCTTTCTGACAGATTAATGTCACGACAGTGCCAAAAGTGACCCAGATTGGTATTAATTGTTCTGACTTATTATACACTACCAGCACTCACAACTACCCAGACACACAACCTCTCTAACTATTTCTAATAGCATAGCACAAAGAGTAGATGTAGATACAAGCATTTCCTAGTCTAGTTGAAGTACTTTGCTTTTCAAAGGTTTAAATAAATTACCATACCTACAGACACTAATTCCCAGCTAATTATGTGGAGTTTGAATAACCGGCATATTATCGCACTGCAAGAAAATTTCATCCACGTACTGGAAATCGAAAAGTGTCTCTCTAAGTAACAAATTCACGAATCTGTACAGCCCATACCTTGATATTTGAGCTACATTATACTATCGTAATTATAACGTCTAGCTACGTCCTAGCTACCAAAATCGTTCCGATTTTTTTTTACATTTACACAATTTATTCATACTAACAACATACTATTGGTATTTAGTGCCATTAACAGCTAATTTAATTCAATATCTCAGTATAGTTACATTTTGATTGTATGAGGACTAATAAAATTATACAACTGTCCAGATTGTAATAGGTTGAGTAGAATTCGAACTTACAAGTGAAATGTTAAAATCCAATCGATTAAACCACTGTACTGTTAAATCACTTTCTTCCTTGCCGTTAATGAAATCTCGCCTATGTACAGTTCTTTTTTTCAGGTATCACAGGAAGAGGTTTATGCATTTACTTTCAAATCGTCCTATGTCAATAAATTTTTCACATGAGTATGACTACTTTTAAAGTAAAGATAATTTATGCAAAAAGTTATAAATATTAGTTTATTCTTATTCTTCTTCTTATTATTATCATAATCGTTATTGTCATATTTCTATATTTAATCCAGAAAGAATTGAATTGAAAAACAATATACCTTGGTCTGTACTTCATTACAACGTAACTGATCTTATTTATGATCTCAATAAAAATATTTCCGAGTCAGAAAGATTTTCAAATACAATATCTTCATCACATTGTATCCATCTACATCGTATCGGTTTAACTTGGAGTTGGAATTCGATTTTACATAATTATGATAAATTTATCATGAAGTTCAATGGTTTTCTTATAGGTTTAATTGAACTACGTGATCCTCAATGGCCATTGGAAAATTATTTTGAATAATAAATATGATTCATGTGTTTTCTTCACACATCTTTCTTATTCTATTTCATAATTTTGCATGATTTTCGTATTGTTTTATTTTTCTTTCAAAATTTCATGTTACTGTGATCAACATAATTGTCGTTATTGATAATATGACTACTATGACTTTCAGATTTTTATACTTAATACCTTATTATTATTTGTATTATTTATTTATAGTTTCCCTACGTAAACAATAAAATTATCAACTTCTAGGATCTTAGCTTATTTGTCTTTAGTTTGTTTGTATGAAGATGTCAACCTTGCAATGATTTCTCTGTAAATGGTATGTATGTTCATGAGTCATGTTTTCAAATGTTCGTAATGATCCATTCTCTTCTAGATGTTGTACGAACTAATTTTTATTAAATTGTTATCTTAAACAGAACAAGAACGAAGATTAATGCAGAATAATATGAATTCATTTTATTTCATTAGGTTCTCATTAGCTGCTTACAACCTAAAATATTTGAAAATAATCGTTATTACAGTTATTGACATAATTATACATACGAGGGTGATGAAAGATGAATATATGTATTATGGTGTAGTGAAGATTCCAATAGAGTTAATGAGGTCATAAAAATTTTGTTTCGAATCAATAAAGTTTGGGAGGGAAAGTCCCAAAACATTGAAATAGTGATTAGAACTCATGGAATTAAAAACACATTAGATGACTATGTAATGAGGTAACTGAAAATACATTAATAGTAATAAAGATATGAATTGAAATCAGTCAGTTATGAATTGAAGAAAAATGACCATGATGTAATTTATACTTCAGAAAGAGTTGAAATAATGGATGACGTAATAAATAAAAAAGGTTAATGTTACCAGGGCAAATAAAGATTTATTACTGTCTCATTCTGGATACATAGATCTGGTTTTAGACGTTTGATTGAGATTGCTTTGGCAAATTTCAAAGGGTTGGAGTCTGATTGTTTGTTAATTACCTTGAAGGATTTCAGTATATCAACTTCATATCTTGTGTCAAGGAGATGTCTTGCGATGGGACTACTGAATGGTTTTAATTCATTTGATCTTAAACTTTTCAGAATATGTTCTTTGAATAGGACTTAGGCCCTCCTATCTGTTCTACCAATGTAGTTGATTGGCAGATACATGTAAATTTATGTGCACAGTTGATGGTAACATGAAAGAGATACCTGTCGACTTTTGATTGTGTTAAAGAACATGTTGTTTTGGACAGGATAATCAGTTTAGCTGCAGTATAAGTTTTTGTCAATACAGTTTTTAATCTCATATTGATTGACCCTGTGACACCTTTGAATCTAAGTTGAATGAAAATATTTTTTTGTATTTGCTGTAGTTTATCTGGTTTTTTTGTCTCCACGTTTTTCATATTTCTCAATAAATTTCAATGGGTATTCGTTATTCTTTAAACATTTTTTAACATCCATAACTTCCTCTTCTAGTGTATCTGCAGTACATATTCTTTCCGTTCTGTGTGACTGTTTTGTCAAGTGCCTTTTTGTAAGTGATTGGACAGAAGCTATTGAGATTGAGATAAACCCCATCGCATGTGTCTTTTTTATAAACTGAATGTTGAACTGTGCTATCCTTTCTTCGTTTCATTGCGATATTGATTCAGTTTCCAGTCAGATGTCAAGAACTTTGGTGTTGTTTATGCACAGAATTTCCTCAATCATAAATGCTTTATTGGAGTTGTGTGCACAAACGATTTTCCTAAATTCATTTCTTAAATAATTAACCAGACAGTGAATTAGCGATTGAATAGCACAAGCGGCTGCAACACCACTTCAAGTGGTCGATGGTTACCTAACTTAACGTATTCACTGAACAGAGTATACAGTATTTTGTTGTGTTATTTGAATTACGACCGATATCATGTAAAACTAAATTTATGCGTGTTAACCGATCACTTAACAGCGTCTCCGTTAGTGCTGGGTAAGGTCGTTTAATAATAACAATAATCGTACATTTTCTGATGCATGAATATTCACTGTTCTACATAGTCGTTGGATTTTCATATTTATTCTCAAGTATAACAATGCGTAAATGATTTTCGTGGCTATGGTATAGCATTTTGATGATTTGCTCCTTATATTGTTTGCGGTTTTAATTTAATTTAATTTGTAACGGTCTGAATTATCTTGTTTTAGATATTTTTGACTGAATTCTGACCAGTCTTAGTTGGGATATGTGCATCCTGTGTCTGTTGCTTCAATATAACAATTAAATTACAAATTGTTATAGAATAAATGGAATGCAGTGAGCAGTGTAATCCAGTACGCTCGTTTCGTCCTTTTTGAGACTTGCCAGGTGGATGCACCTGTACATTTGTATTGTTTGCAACATGACTCGGATCCAGTATCTTTCACTCCAAACACCAAACCGGTTATATAATTCATGAAGTTTTTTATTGTCGTTTGGGGAATTTCTTTTATGGATGTTGGGGAAAGTGTGCTTTTCCATTTCTAACGAATTCGTGTGTTCCGCAATCATGTTATTTCTGTACGAGTTTCACAGGTTAAATACAATTTCAGATTTTTTATTTACTTCCTATAATGTTTGATTCAACCCTTGTTTTACTCTTGACAAGTTTTATACATTATAGTCGCAGACTTTCTAGTAATTTTTCAACTTACAATCTTTTCAGATTCCGAAATTGTCACCTTTCTCATATTACTCTCTGTTACCGAATTTCCCGAGTACCAGACTGCTTCGCATTGGAACTTCATTAGTACAACTTTGCAGGAAGTCATCCAATCAGAGTGGAAAAGTTAGTGACTATGGTGCAGCTGTTACTCGATTGCGTTTTCCAGTTTCTTCAAGACCGATTCGTATGAAAAGGGCTGAGGGTGTTGGTGGTGGTGTAACAGGTCGTATGATGTTGCTTAAACGGTATGTTTCAAAGCTATTTGATGATGAACGCATCGAATTGCCATGGCCACATGCTACTGAAACTCGATTATACGCTGAGCGTTTGATTCAGGAAAGCATCTTGGCATCAGCTGAACAGGATCTAGTTTCGCTATTTGAACTTTGGAAAAATTCTAAGGAACCAAAAACCAACGATAAACTCAATCTTGGTATTCTAGAGCTTTCTGTGTTTTGGCTAACTGAGGAACGTTTAGTTGAAAAATTATTCAAGGTATTCGAGAAACTGATTTTTAATTTTGTATGTTCTGCATTTTTTTGTAATTTTATCTGCATGCATCAACTTACTAGTAACAGTAGGATTTGGGTTTATGTTTTGTATACGCTGTTGCTCATCACCAGTTGTATGCAGTAATGGGAGTATTATGATCTTTACTCTGAAATAAGACCGTGTGTCGGAAATTCACTTCTAAAATTCTGGTTTGGGCAGTTGAGTATTATCGTTAGCTATCACATAGTGTTATCTGCATGAAACTGTATTTACCTGCTAAATTTCAGTCCTGTTCATCGCAACATCTTATTTGAAAAGACCGTTTCTGGCTTTTTAAAATCAAATATATGCCTAGTTCCTTAACCAACATGTGATTTGATTTTAACTTGGTTCGTCTCAAAGACTAACAGTTTCCAAACGGAGTTCTTTAAGTTACTTTTAGCTATTAAACCTGGCTGCATCTTTGGGTCGACGCAATAAACTGCTTAGTCCACATAAATATTTATTTATCATTTGCATTGACTGGGAACAAACGATTATCAATTATAATTTGCAGGAGATAAAGCCCGTTACCATTCTATTCATCTGGAGTGGGAATGAATGTTTAAAGAACCATTTCACCCCGTCCAATGTCTTTACTCATACTTCGGAGTCAGTAGCAACTATTATTGCTTTCATTTGTTCGACACCCTCAAAGAGGTTTGGCTAGCTTTGATAAGATTATTTAAAACGGAACTGAAAATGTAGAATAATGGTAAGTCACTCGTTGTTGGAGAGATCCAGAATATTCCTCGCACAGGAACGTAGGGGTCCGTAAGACTCTGGTGAACATTTCATCCAATCAGCGTTGAACTTAAACCACTCAGAAGCATCTAGAAAGTGAGGAGTCAAGTGTCACTTTTTTGATTGAATAATTACCTATGCTCCTACTATATTTAATATGGTTCCAGAAACTTTCAAAAGCCCAAGGCTGTTTGAAATAATATAAACACCCTCGTTTTTCTATACATTAACTAACCTTGGAGTAAAGCGTTCTTTTCGCTATTCGTGCTTTTTTTTTCTTGTGCTCAAGCTACCGTGTAGATTTAGCTTGGGATTTTTAGAAGAGATTAGGAAACCGATTCAAGCATTGACTTATAAGACTTATCAGTGGCAATGGTCCTGCGTTGTAGCTGACTCTCTAAGCGTTCACGAAATCGATTTTAACAAAGCACGAAGAGTTGACGTCTGAAATTCCAGAGTCATCAAGCCTACGATAATATTCCTGTCTACAGAAAAGTAGTCGTATTGAATTATGACTCTGTTTAGGTGAAGTTAACTCGATAAGTATACTTGCATCTCGCATGTGTGTCTCAGGAACGTCGTACATAGACTGGATTGATTCAGTTTTGGTTAGTGTTGTTGATCCGTTCTGAGATACGGATTTTAAAGCGTTTGTCAGTAATATGATTTATATAAATCAAAATTTTCGTAGTCTAGATGGTCAGCTGAAGGAAACGTATAAGTTTATTTATTCGTGTATCTAGGAGAAGTGCTGGGTTTATTGCTCATCATTAAAGTCAGATTTCTGAGATTTATCTCACTTAACCTTTTGGAAAGTGTTACTCATTGGAGAGTTTTTTTCTGTTCTACAATGATTATCACTCCCAGCAATCGGAAGTTGTAAGACAAAAATTACATGGTTTTCTATGGAGTGTTTTTTTTACCATCCAAATTTAAATAAAGGTATTAGTTGTCAGTTCGTTTTAGCGCAAATACTAAAATTGACTCTCAGTTTAAAATAACATAATGAATAAATTCTAATTTAGATTATCAAATTTATGTCTACTATTTGGTTACTGTTTGAAATTGTTCTCAAATGTAGTTGGGTATAAGTGTTTATTTTGTTTTGTTCACATCCTTAATAATAATAATAATAATAATAATAATAATAATAATAATAATAATAATAATAATATTATTATTATTATTATTATTTTATTATTTATTTATTTATTAATTAATTAATTAAGAATAGAATAAGGACCAGATATTCATACTGTGAATTCTAGATATCTAAAAGAAATAACTATTAGATTTTCATTAATATCTATAATGAATGAAATCAATTTAACAAAACTCAATATCCTAACAGATTTTGTAAATGTATTAGTAAACATATTATAATAATAAATTGTTAATTAATAGATTCATTAGGTGAATTTTACTAAGGAATGATGAAGTACAAAGTGTATATTACATTAAATTCTAGGTTAGACAGATCTATGTTGTATATTTATTATAATGACTGTTTATGTTCGTACACTAGAACTGGAACTCATTATAACTATAGTTTAGATAGTTTATTTATTAAGTCCCAAATATGACTAATTAATTTATTTATTCACTTTATAACTGAAACTTGTTCAGAAAATCTACATATAAGCTAAGTGGTATTTATTCCTTTTTTTCCTGTTAATACTTTTTGGTGTATATTACTATAGTATATGCTTTAATTATTTTCGTTTCAGGTATTTGTACCAAGATACAGGTTTTATGAACGCGCATACACTAGTTTGTTTAAGATTTTTCCTCCAGTTCATCCGATAAAATCTAGTGGTACTAAATTATTTGGAATATTGGAATTGCACGGAAATCCATGGCCACCTGTTCGTGGTCATGGTATAATTGGAAGAAGTTTAAATCCAGAACCATTTCAAGATCGTTATCTCATTAATGTTCTGTTGGATGCTGCACGTGAATCATCAGTTAAGAAGAATTGTACACTATCCACATCATCACCTATTGTAATTGATTATAAACTACGTCCAATTAATTAACTGTATGTGATACACTTATGTAAATATCCATTATTTATCTATTAACGGATCTTGTAGGTCTATACTTCTATTCCATATTCCTTATAAATACTTGGAAAACTTTTCATATTATGAAATAAATTTGCATTTTACTGCATGTACTCTTTTTGATTTTCCGATTTATTAAATATATATTTCTAAAAGACTATTTTATACCTTATAAGCCGTTAAAAGTTTGACATTTTCTCTGTGTAGTGTAAAAATGTGTTTTTTTTAAAAACTAAATCGTTTTTTACAGACTTAAGTAGAATCAATTGTCTAGCAAATACTTACCAACTATTTCCTTATATCTTCTATGACTTCGTAATTTGTGCTCTGCCATGGCTAACGTTAGAAATCATTTTAGTTTGCGGTATGATTGTGTTACTTATGCAATCAGTCGAACAGTCTTCTGTTCTGATGAAACTAAAGGATAGTTAAGATGAAATGGTTATCTGTTTAAAGCCTAAAATTTCCCACTGCAATTAGGTCTAAGCGAATCTACATACCTTTTTGAGGGTCAGAAGTTCACAGCTACCGGGCATAAAAGATGTAGTTATACTACTGTCTGTGCTGAAGTGTGGCAGTAGTAAGGTTTTTTCATAGGTGGTCAGTATCTCTAGCTAGTCTTCCTTTATACAAAGAAGTGTGGTTAGTAAGGAGAATAGCTCGAAAATACATACATGCTTTTGTTTCAGTGCTGGGTGTTGAGCACTATAAAATCAAAAATGGTTACTTGCGAACAACTTTGTGTACGCAATTATTTTTTTCGCTTCATACTCATCCAGAGACGGATATTGGATTTCAAACCTTTAGTGATCTAGAGAAATTAAGAGCTAAGAAGAGCAATAGGACTTGATGACCAATTTCAGAGTATTTTAAGGACTGTGACCTAACATTATAAGTAAAACCCATCATTATTTTAGATCGAGCAAGCTCAGTTATAATTTTTAACTATGGTCTGTCACAATATGGGTGAAAATCGTTTCCGTATTCCTACTTAATGTCTAACAGAAATAACTGATGTGGGTTTTAAAGAGTATGTTTAAAAATGTCTAGCGAGAGTTGTACAGGTCCGGAAAATCGGAAGTATTTGATTGCTGTGTACTTGTGTGATAATTGACGTTAAAAGTATTAGCATTACATTGAGGATATTTCTTGTTGGAAGTTAAGCAAGCGTCTGTAAACTTGTGAATTTAGATATTGACTCCCTGGATGATTGGAAGAGATGGTCTCCATATGGTGAATGGTCTGCTGTTTCTGATAAGTTATCGTAAAATCCATTTTCGTACCTACCCTATCATCTATTTTAGTCACATCTTTTTAAATTAAGCTTCGAATTGTACATGTTTGTTTTCCTTTCACGTATATGTTATATTATTACCTGAGCAAAGTAAGTCCTCACTGTTCACCACTAGGTTAGATTTACGTATGCATAACAATCTAAGAAGATAAGGAACTTTTTAAGGTTTGAAGGTAAGATAAATTTAGTTATGTAGTACTTTGAAAACTAAAAATCAGAGAACACTGGAAAGATTTTTTTACGAGTATGCAACACGTCTAATGATTTCAGGTTCGTGGAATTCTCGATTATCGTCCATTGTCACCAGTAAACATTCGTTTCACCCTCAAATCGGTTGACTTTCCTACCTCATTCACTTGTTGCAATTTTCTTTTTTGTTATTTTGTTAACTTTTGTAAATAAAGTATTTCGATTATATTACAAATTTTCAAATCATATCTAATGTGTTTGTTTATACCATGTATGTATGATTAACTGGAATGAAAATATATCAGGATAATAGTAATCCTCGTATAGACTATCGCTTTTTGATATCAACTTTATATATGTCATTATAAAATAATTTTCCTTCTAATCGATCATTTACAATTCATTAATTCTATATATATTACTTATTCATAACTAAATCCTGTCAAATAAAGTACAATTAAAAAGGCAATAATAACTACAAACTGTGCATGAACATTAATTTATCATACCTGTTAACTATTATGGTAATAATAGTATAAATAAAATTACATTGAGTCGGCTTCAAAATGTTAGATAAAACATCGATCAGCAACATTCGATCCTGACTATGATATCTCCACTTTCTTGGTCTGATTTCGATTTACACCTATTATATTAGGTTCAGACGTTTGTGGAGATTAATTTAATTTGAAAAACTATCAATAATCACTAGACACTTGTTTTATCCTGGTTTTGAACTCAACCGTGTGCTCACCGACGGCCGTACTAAGTACCAAACTCACATCCTTTTAGATTTTACGACAAGCGTTTAACTTTTGGACCATTAAGTTTTTGCTCTGCAGTGGATAACATTTCAATAATTCTCCAACTGATATTGATCAGTGACCATAACCAATATCCATAATGAAAACTTTTTAACGCATTAATTAAAGCATTTTTAAGTAGTAATTGCCTTCATGTCCCTTTTTTCCTCTTTCCAAATTTATTTCACTGCATTATACTCCTTTGATAACATCTTCAAACCCTAGTCTTTCCGATTACTGCTTATACTCTTATCACCTCCAGCACTACGGGATTTGAATCGACAATTGTATCTGTGTGCTAATGTGGTATGGCAACTGGAACTGATGTACGTACGTATGAAGTTCTACGTTGTTGTTGACTGACTGAGTAATTGCCTATGAAAAAAGTGTGGTTATTGAAAAAAAAAAGAAAGATTTGGTTGTGTTTATGTCATGTTTCTTCAATCGTAAACAGATAATATATTTTAAGAAAACCAAGGGATAGAATTTTCGACCAACTTAAGTGTTTCCATGATGCCGAGTTAACTAAAATTATTCTTGTAATAATTGTAGTAATTGTTTATGATAGAGTATATCATTTGACTTAGTGTAACTTGCAATTCGCACTAATTATTTACCTCTGTTATTCTAGTTAGATTTCATTTAAAAAGTATCTCAAATGTTTAAGTGATTTGTTTCAAGATTTTGAACATTTCTCGTACTCATTAAAAAAAAATGATTTTAGCATATTCATGTGATTAATTTACTAAGGAAAGTAATAAATTACTTTAGATCGGAATAAGACATTATCTTATGTGAATCTATTGTCCAGTATTTAAAGCAATTGTGTATATCAACCGTTCCATTACAAATTTCAAGTTTTATCCTATCCCTTTCAGTTTGAATAGCTCTCGCACTTATAGTTAAATCTAATATCGAGTACATGAACAATAACACTTAATGAATCGGCTACACTACATTATATTAATCATTGAACTCAACATTTTATAATAAAAAGAAGTGCTGAATGCAAAACCAATTACGAATACCGCTTTATCTTGGATATGGTCCTAAGAAAGTATTTACAAGACATCAGCTAAATAATATTTCTATTCGATGGAAAACAATTTGTCCAGAAATATCACATGATAATGAAACTACTGTATCAACATCTAGTCCTCGGTGGAATATTTTACGTAAGTTACTCTTGTTTTTTCTACTTCAACTAAACTATAGTTAAAAGTATATTTTTATTTTTGTTGCTCGAGTTTTCTTCGAAAGGTTTGAATTAATAAATATCTATTCATTTTATTATTATTAATTTTGATAAACACTTTCTTAGTGATTTATGCATAGATGATATTGGTGTAAGTAATGCAGTTGTTAGGAAACGGGTACTAGGTAAGGATGGCAAATCAATTGATGAAGTAGTGGAATTTCATCAGTTGAGATGGCTGGGACACGTGTTACGTATGCCCAACGACCGACTGCCTCGACGTGCGATGTTCAGTGGTATAGGAGTAGGTTGGAAGAAAGCTAGGGGCGGCCAGATCAAAACATGGCACAAGTCCATGAAGTCACTGACAAGTGGTCTGAGCCATGTCGGTAGGTGTAGACTACCTGGTTGGAGACCGCGATATGATAGCAACCGATGGTTAGAGACCTTGAATGACATGGCTCAAAATCGTTTGCAATGGCGCAGGTGCATCCACTCTTTGTGTTCTCCCAAATTCTAATCTTCTGAATTCTTCATGTCCCTTTTTTCCTCTTTCCAAATTTATTTCACTGAATTATACTCGTTAAATAACATCTCCAAACCCTAATCTTCCCGATCACTGCTTACACTCTTGCTACCTCTACCACAATGGGATTTGAATCGACAACTGCATCTCTGTGTTAAGGTGGTGTGGCAACTCGAACTGATGTACGTACGTACGAAGTTCTACGTTGTTATTGACTGACTGACTGAGATGATATTGGTTAGAAGGCGACATTGTAATGGGTTTTTTTTGTTATGGATAATTCCAGTTATAGTTCTAAAATATTATGACAACAAATTTGTTAAAATTGTATGAGGATAAAACAGGAATTTACGTTGAAATCATAATTTTTTTAAAAGATGAAAATTACTATTTTAACATTGTTCTCCTTTTTTTTGTAAAGACAATTAGAGCTTAACACTTGAGTTTTCTTTCGATATGCAGGCTTGTTTTTATCTTCCTAATTTATATGGTTTCCGTGAATAGTAGTAGGATAGATGTGTATTGCGTACTGATTATTTTGAAGGAGTACCTACTTCCCACCTCATGTTTCATGTCAATTATATGAAGCTTCTGTCTGCGAGACGATTGTTCTTAGGAATAAACCCAATAAAACACTTAAATTCCTGTTTCTATATCTTTTAATGTACCTGATTTTGTATGTATATGTAAATTGATGAATAGAGTGGGAGGTTTAATATGATAGGTATTTGTTTACTTTGATATCTGTTATTCAGTTTATTGGGACCTATTTCGATAAAGTAAATGAACTACATAAAACTACTTTCAGTCTTTTATTCATCTTTTTGCAATTCGGTTGCCTCTGAATATGATTCGAATAGTTTTATGTTTTTTCTCCTGTATATTTATTTCATCATAAGTGAGTCAGGGTAACCATTTGATCAAAGATAACTTTCTATTTCTAAACATTCTTCTTCAATATTATCTGTAAAACATAACTTCCTCTCTCCGTGATAAAGGAATTTTATTAGTCTACATTTATAACTTAATGAACAGAAGCAATGAAAGTGAAGTAGTGTAAGGTCTTAATCTTATAGTTTTTATAATGTGCTATTCAGGATACCCATTTTTCTCTGGAATATTTATTTCACTCTTTGTAGTATCAGATATGTAG